ATGCAATAATTATTCTTCAGAGAGTCTTTCTAAAAATTACTTAAGCTTTGTGAAGCAGTTCTAAACGCAATAGCTGTTCTTCACAAAGTCTTTCTAGACTTACAACAAGTTTTATGAGGTAGTTCCAAACTTGATAACTAACTCTCACAAATGCTTTCTTTCTAATTAGTTGCAACAAAATTCTAATTTTATTTTTGAAAATCAAATTTTTAGAAAATCCAATTCACACCTTCTTGGGTTGTGCCATATATAAATGGGACCAACAACAATAATCTTGGGTTGTGCCATATATAAATGGGACCAACAACAATAAATTTAATAGCATTAATAATCATTCTTTTCTTGATTATACAATTACAATATTTTACCTTAAATCTTAGAAGGCTGCAACTCAAATAGCCTCTAAAATAATCAAATATCCAACTTTTTATAATTTTTGAAAAAAATTATTTATTTAATATAGTTTTTACATGTTGTATTATCCTATGGGTCCCGTTTATGTATGGCACAATCCAAGAAAGGGGGGTGAATTGAGTTTTCTAAAAATTTAAATTTCAAAATAAAAAATTAGAATTCTATTGTAGCGGAATTAGAAAGCGTTTGTAAGAGTTAGTTGTTAAGTTTAGAACAACCTCACAAAGCTTGTTACAAATTTAGAAAGACTCTGTGAAAAATAGCTATTATATGTAGAATTGCTTTACAAAGCTCAAACAATTTTAGAAAGACTCTGTGAAGAACAATTATTGCGTTTAAAACTGCTTTACAAAGCTTATTACAATTTAAAAAAAGATTATGTGAAAAACAATTATTTTAGAACTGTCTTCCAAAGCTTTAAGAAAAATTAGAAAACTGATTATAATTCATATTGTGATTTACACTGAATCTAGAAGGACAGATTAGAACTTGATATAATCATAATACAGAAATCCAGAATTCTAATGTTCCGCAAAGATAAAGCATATTCACGTTTAGAAACAGAAATTCATTAATAACTTTGCGTTTCTTAAAAAGATTAACAGTTGTGTAAACAAAGCATAATCAATCAGAACTTCAGAAAATAAAAGAAGATAAACACAAAGATTTATAGTGGTTCGGCACTAACTCGCCTATATCCACTCCCCAAGATTCATCTTGAGATCCCAGAAAATAAAAGAAGATAAACACAAAGATTTATAGTGGTTCGGCACTAACTCGCCTATATCCACTCCCCAAGATTCATCTTGAGATCCTCCACTATGTTATCTCTTTTCAAGGGTAAGAAACAAACCAACATTAGAAGAAAATAGATCAACACTTAGATCTAACCTTTGTCTCACTAGATTTTCCAAAAATTCTAATCAACCTCAACCCTTTCTGTTTTTGCGAAGAATAGAAACTCACATCAAGAGATTAGAATCTCACACAAGGAGAAGGTCGCTTGATAACCTATTACACCATAGCTTTTCACCTAAGTTATTACACAAAAGTTTTTCATTTAAAATATCTATTCTACAACAGATTACAAAATCTATATATACAAAGAGAAATGCAATTATAAGTACAGGAAGAATAGAAAACGAATTTATGAAACAAATTTAAAGATCAAAATTGTTCTTTAGAAAATATTGTTATTAAATTTTCTTTTCTCTTAAAAATATTTCTTGAAGCAAATAGACAAAAAGAAATAAGGAGGTTTTAAGAGAGAGCTTTGAGAGATTTAAAATTTTTAATCAATGGACTCTTACTCCTACAAAAACGTCAACGTTTTCAAAAGAAGAAAAACGTCTTTTTTAATAGGAATGAAGATTACGTTTTTAGGAAAGCGTTTGATCTTTAGCTTTAAAGAATATCTTTGACATTCCAAAAGTGAAAGATGTACGAAAATCTTTTATGTACTCATTTATTTGTTGCTAAACATATTTAAGCTAAAATCTTTTTTATTTAGGTAAGTAAAATTAAAAATAAGATTTGACTTTTTTTTTAAGGTAATTTCCGAAAGTAAAAGGTATGTGAATCTTTTTCAAATATTTAATTATTTATTACCAAAAATAATTAAGCCAAAATCTTTTTATTCAGGTAAGTAAATTTAAAAAGAACAAGATTTGACTTTTATTTTTAAAGAAATTTCCGAAAATTATTTTGAGAGAAAATATTTTTGTGCTTATAAAAGAATATTTTCTCTATCCTACAATATATCCTAAGATACTACCATCAAAAAGACAAATCTTCAAAAATTTTCATGGTCTTCAAAAAATCTTAGATTTGTAGGAACTTGTCTTCTTTAACAAGTTCCATATTAAAAATCTGCATAAAATAATATTAGCACATACAAAAATATTAAATTTATTTGTTTTACATAATCATTAAAATCTCGAAATAAACACTTGAGCGAACATATCCATTCTATTGTATTTATCTAAAAAGAGTAAATATAATTTTTCACTTTTCTTGTTATATTTTTAAGAAATAAGATTCAGTGCATTGCGCCGGTCAACACACTAGTTGGTCTTCTAAAGATACAGTGCTAGTTTGATGAAGGAAGTTGACAAATTTAATAAATATGAGATCTATTACCGAAATAATAATCATCAGTGGCAGATCTAGAAATGTTTTAAGCGTGGGTATAACATGAAATTACCAGACAAATATCGGGCCGATTCTCTTTAGAAACTCTCCACTCTTCCTTATCATAAGAAAGAGAGAGATTTTAAATAGCTAAATCACAGAAAAATTAGAGTGTCTCAAAATGAGGCCAAAACACAGAACAAATCATATTAGGCCATGTGGCAAGGAGGCCACCAGGTGCAGCGGCTGCAATGCATAAGAGAAGTGTGGGGGCCGTAAGTGGTTTTGAGGCAGCTGCAAACACTTTGCTGCCACCGCCAAATAGGAATTCCGACCTAATTTTGAAATTTTTCCAATTTTGATTTTTTTGACCTTTTGACTTGATTTCCAGGGCTCCATTCTAGTCCGTTTTAAATCAAATATTAGCATACAATTGAAAATCTTGAGAAGTCTAATTTGCAATCCCGCTTGAGCCATTCAAAAATAGTATCTGTAACTCAAATTATGATAAAAAAATATATAAAAGTCACTTTTAACTTTTATAATTAGCTTTGATTTTTAACCGATTGAATACTAATTAATTCGAACTATGACTCTTGTAATTATTTTCTAACAATATAAAGGTGTAAAAAATAAATATTTACAATTCTAAATCTATTTTGTAGTTTTTAATATTTAAAATTTCAATTATTATATCAATTATTTCAAAATATTTAATTGGGTTTGAAAATTAATATCAATAATCTACGTTTAAATCCATATCTATCCATTTACATCTCTCTCTATTTTTTTTTTTTTTTTTATATCTATCATTTACATCTCTCTCTTATTTTTTTTTTTTTTTTTGCCAAGATTTTTTTTAAAGTTTTTTATCATTTAATCATATTTTGATTGGACCATTACAGAGTTATTTTTTTTTTCTTAAATTTATAGATTAGGTAATTCTTTATAATAACTATCACTTTCGAAATCTAATCATTTAATCATATATAATTTAAAATTTTTTTTTTTTTTTTTGCCAAAGATTTTTTAAAGTTTTTTATCATTTATCCATATTTTGATTGGACCATACAGAGTATTTTTTTTTTTCTTAAATTTATAGATTAGTAATTCTTTATAATAACTATAACTTTCGAAATCTAATCATATTAATCATATATAATTTAAAAGTTCATTGTATATTAATTATATTTTGTATTTTTCAATAGTTAAAAGTTTTGCCTATTATATTATTTCAAGATATTTATTTAAGTAATCCCAACCATCCCTTATCTTTTCATAAACTCTTTCGGCATGGTAAATTAATTAAACTAATTAATTAGATTTGATTGTGGAGCAAATTTTAGCTTGGATTTTACAATATCCGTATCCGACCCGCAAATAAAAGTTGACACATCGAGTGGGTCAAGTCGGATTAATATTTTACAAATAACTAAAAGATGATTAAGTATAATCATAAATTTCAAAAAGTTCAATCATAAATAAATAATTGAGATATCAGATTATACAAAGAACAAAAAAAAATGTGAAAAAGAAGAAACTAAGTGTTTCATTGCTTCAAGTTCACGTCTTGCATGGGATCCACTTAAAGCATAAGAATCTTCTGGCATGACAATGATCCATATGGCTCCACACAATCCAATTACATTTTTCTAATATAATTAAGGATTTTTAAATATTAAAAAAAATTGTTCAAATCATTAATTTGGTTAAAACATAAAATTAATTGTTTTTCTTGTATTTATATCAAAGGATTATGCAAGATTATATGTGTTATTTTTCTATTTATTCTTCTAAAATTATTTATTTAATTAGTCTTGTATATTTTCATTTATTATAAATATATGAGTTGGATAGAAGAATGGATAAATGGATGAATGGCAAGTACTGGGTGATAATTTATTTCAATTCTAATATTTTGTTTTGTAAGTTTTAATATTGTAATTTATATATATATATATATATTTAGGATCTTAATGTATTTGTTTTAAATAAGGCTTTTAGGTGAAAAACCATATATGTGAATTAAAATAAACTAAAATTAGTAAAATTGTATTAAAATAAGAAATATTATTATAATTAAATGTCATTGTTGTATATTTAAAAAAAATAAAATAGTAAAACTTTTTGAACAATATTAATAATTATTATTTATATTCTAATAATATTAGAGTGATTTCAATAGATTACCCACATGATAAATTTAATTGAGTAAGGACTCACATAGTAGTTGAGAGAAAATGCAAATTTGAACAAATTTGACATCTAATTTTTATTTTCCTCAATAATTAACAATTCATAAATAATTTAACTTGAGTTTTTCTTTCTTAGAATTTAAAAGAAAAAAAAAATTGTGATTGATTGGACTGCCAATCCAATCGGAGATGTTGTCACGTAACAAATAATAGGTTAGAAAAAAAAAATAATAAATGTCTAAAAGTGGTGAGATAACCGTGTATATCAATGTTAACTGATAATCATTGCATTGGAAAGTACTCTGTAGATAAACAGTTTGATTTATAATGACACGTACACATATATGTATATATTTACATGCCGACAAAAGTTTGTGGTTAGGATTTATTTAAATCCTCCTAACTTACAATTGTCAAAGAACTCCTTGTAGAGATTGAATCTCGAGGAGAAATAGAGAAGGAAGTATCACATTCATATTCTAAATCTTCAAATCCCAAAAATTCTTCTTCTTGCTCTTCTTCCTCTGGCATCTTCCATCTCTCTTTATCCATTTCTTCCTCTTCCATTACTTCTAAGACCTGCCAATGTACAAGAGATCAATAAGATTGTATATTCATTCCTTTTACACTATGTCCATAATTGATTGTCATTTAAAATAAATTGTCCTTTAGATTTTCCAAATTGATTAAAACTGTATTGTCAAAAGGATAAAGTTGTGTCCGGCAACAATTTTTTGAGTACTAGTTCCAATCAAAATGCTATATTTTATAATGTTTAATAATATGACGTTTGCATTATCTTTTAAAGATTAAAGTAGCTTTTTACTAACTTTGTAATGTTTAATTCTTAGCGTTTTATGAAAAACTACTAAAACAGCTAACAACTATCAAAACAGCTAATTTTACCAAACAGATTCTAAAAATTCAAAACATAACACTTCTCACATTTTTTGAGAAAAACTACATCTGAAGAAAAAAAAATCCCTAATTTTATTTATGCCCACAGATAAAAAAATGATAAAGTGAAAATTTTTAAAAATCTCGATTATGATTGGTTTGGTACATAACTGAATCCATAAATCAAATATAGGCAAATTTTATTTATTAAATTTATTGGATGTATATATATATATATATATTCGGTTGTGATTTCTAAAATTCTAAACCTAACATTATTTTAAAAAATTATGACAGAATATTACAGATTGAAATTCTAAGAATCCAAACCAAGAGTTGTTTTCCACTAATCACATGGGAGACCCATATTTAATGGGTTAATAGCATATAGATATAGGTAGTAGGTAGGATAGGACATCCTCTAACTATTTATCATGGCGTGAGAATGCACAATTACATTTCATACCTATCTACCATTGCCTAATAATTGGACTAAATCTAAGTTTATATGTTGCATTCTTCTTAGCTACTAGTGAAAATGATATGCAAAGTCATAACAAGCAATAGCTAGCCAGATCGCAAAAGCCAAAAAAAACAAAAAAGTGAACAACTAATTAAGATATTTTATAGCAAATACTTGTGAAGATGAATTGCAACATTTAGGATGGCGATAGTAATCCATAATGGAATAAGGAATTTTGTTCCGTAATGTTTTGGTAGATATTTGAATAGATAGTAACTGTTTAAATAGATTTTCATAAAATATTAAAAGTTAAACGTTATAAAAGTAACACTTTATAAAATATTATTTTAATTTCTAAAAGTTAATTCAAATGTTGTATTATTGAATATTATACAAAATAGCGTTTAGTCAAAACGCTAAAAGTTACTTAAAAAGCTATTTTCGAATACAACCTAAATGTAAGATAACTTATATGTTTAAGGATTAGATATATAGTGAGGATTATGATTAGTTTTTAGTTTCGGTTTCGATTTTCAGTATTTGGATAAGCTATTAAATAACATTTATTTTCTAAGTAAAGACGAAACGTTTAACCAAACCAACCGGTTTAGTTGATTTCCAAGCTTACTTTAGGTTAATTCGATTTCAAAGAAAAATAAAGTCTGATCGAACCGAATGGTCTATTTGCACATTCTAATTGGATCATTAAACACTAGAAACTTATTTGCATAGTGTTGAATGATCACTTAACCAGTCAACTAAGAGATAGTAATAATTGGAATCAAGAACACAAACAGAATTATTTGTGATGCAGTGATCCTTATCAAGAAGCTTAATTTACTTTGTCATCATGAAAATTGCAGCATGGGAAAAATTTTCTAATGCGTAACAAGACAAAGTGGTGGGACATTTGAACCTAACTCTTATTTTATGCAGATAAAATTATGATGGACCACTTAATTTAAGATCAACATATCTGTTATGAAAATTCTAAGCTTCAAAAACACGGGAAGCTAAATTATTTAAGAATATTAAATAAGGGTGAACTATAACGTCCGTGAGATTTTCATAATTAGTATTTTATTCTATATTGTTTGAATTAATTTTTTAAACTAATTTCAATATAATATGCAAAATTGCGAGGCCTCATTTATTTTATTATGTCATAACTCAGAGTAGAGTTATACAATAATCAGTAAAACTGACTGAATCAACTAGTATGGTTCGATTTGGTTTTAAAAACTTCGGTTCAATTTTAGTTTTAATAGAAACAAACTTCTTGATCCAATTTGGTTGTTTAAAAATTCCAAAAATCATATTGATTTAACTCAAAACTAAAACTGAATCAAATCAAACTGGTTCAATTCGATTCTGTTTTATAAACAATTTGATTCAGTTTAATTTTTCGTACAAAAATTTCACTTATGCGGTTGACTCAGTTTGGTTGGTTTGAATCAAACCAATTGCACACACCTTGACTCAAGAAATAAAGTAAATGCTTTAAGGGATCAAAATCTTATATAAACTAAAATATTATGGGCAAAAAATATAGTACAAGAATTCAAAATCTTTCTCTAAAACTTAATGATTTTACAAGCAAAGAGTGATAGTTGGATCATTAATAAACTTTAAAGACTAAAAATATTAATTTTAAAACAGTAAATATAAATATGTAAATTATTATAAATTTGAGGGATGTAATAGTAAATTTACCCTTAAAATAAACATATTAGCTGACACAAGGACTAAGAGTATGGGCAATCTTAAAATGAAATCATCATACAATATGTGCAATCTTTGGTAATTATTATTATTATTATTATTATATTATTTGTTATTAATTTAATTTATGATAATAATTGAAATGTAATAAATATATATGACTAGATGATCAAACTAGCAAAACTTTGTCGTGTGTGATAGAAAATGAAGTAAAGATTATTGTCAAGAACAGCTAAGCTACCTGATTAATGGTAGGGCGCCACGTGGAAGATGCTCTAATACAAAGAGAAGCAGCAAAGGCAAGTCTTTTCAGCTGAGTAGGATCATAGGACCCCCCAAGTCTTGGATCTACAAGGCTTTCAATCTCTCCTTGGTTTAATATTGGTTTAGCCTGTTAAAAGTCAATGTTTGAGGGTTTAATTACTATTAATTACCAAAATCTGCAATTGGTAGATTACGTAATTAACTGGGAAGGAATTGGTAATTAAATGTAATAAAAATGACAAGTCTCAAAATTGGTAACCTTACCCAGCTGTGTATGCTTTGGTGAGACCCATCTACTGGTTTCCTTCCAGAAATGATTTCTAACAAAAAGACTCCAAATGCAAATACATCTGTTTTCTCATCCACTATTCCATGCATATAGTACTCTGGTGCTAAGTGCCTATCAAAGAAAATTTGCAAATTTTTTCCATCAAAAATCCATAAATTTTTTTAATTAATTTGACTTCAGACTATAATTCTAACTCAGCAACTTCACCATCCTGATATCACTGAATCAAAACTAATAGGTAGAACCTAGTTAAAAATAAATACTAACGAAGTTTGATTTAGTGTTTCATGATTTGTAAATTGAAATCTTAGTTGAAGAAGAGGAAAAAAAAAAAACCATTACATACCCAAAAGTTCCTTCAATAGGAGCAATTGAATGGTGAGACCATTGTGATGGAAGCCATTTTGCCAATCCAAAATCAGATATCTATTATCACATTGAAACAAAGAACACTAATGTTAAAATCAAGATTGGATTAAAATAATTTTTTTTACAAAAAGAAAAGACTAATTCCAAATGGGATGCCTTACCAATGGTTCAAAATCAGCTGTCAGTAGAATATTTGAAGATTTAATGTCACGGTGAATAATCCTTCTTTGACATCCTTTATGCAGGTAATTAAGCCCTTTAGCTGTTCCAATAGCAATCTTGTACCTTATTTTCCAATCCAAAACTGGACAATTTTGATCTAGAACAAGAATTTATTAGAAAGATCTTAAAACAAGAAAAACACAGAAAGGAATTAAACTAATTATAGTAAAAAAAAAACTCAAAAATGTGTTATTTACCATGAAGAAGAGAAGCAACAGAGCCTCGAGGGGAGAAATGGAAGATGAGATAAAGGCCATTATCGGTACAACAACCTAATAAAGATAACACGTTTGGATGACAAACATGACCAATTGTCCCAATCTCTGTAAGAAACTCCTTTTCTTTTCTTTCATCATTACAAGCTTTTGTTAGCCTTTTTATTGCAATTTTTTCTCCATCTCTTAGTTCTCCTTTGTAAACCTCTGCATAGCCTCCTTTACCCACAATGTTCTCTAAAACCCATATAACATAAACACAAATTTTAGCAAAAAAAAATCACATTAAAACATAAAAACTAGCAAAGGATCATAAAAAAAACTAAGTATATGTTAAACCTGGGTTAAAACCGTTTGTGGCTTCAAGTATTTCTTCATAGGAGAAACACCTCCAAGTGGGTTTTGAAGAATGCTCTGTTTCTTGAACAAGCTTTTTTTCTCCTTCAATGGTGATTCCCTCTTCAAGTCCTTGCCTTTTTAATGAAAAAAGCCTTTTCAAGCTTTTGGTTCTTATATACTTCATTGTAACAGAGGAAAGTGAAGCAGAACAGAGTACTCTGCTTCATGCAGAAAACAAAAAGAAAGACAAAGAAACTCTCTCTCTTGGATTTTCTGTTATATAATTTTAAGGACATCAAAATAGAGAAACAGAGAGTCAAAAGGGATTCTATGTGTCTTTATTGGTTTAAGGGAAGAAAGAGTTCATTGCTTGGGTGATTGTGTTGGGAGGAAATTGGAATTGAATTAAGAAATGCAATGGGTGTTTCCACATGCCAATTTATGTTAAATTTTCTACTTAAAAAGGAGTTAAAAAAAAATTATTAGGAGTATTGAACATGTTGAGTTCATTTAAAATGAAAATGATGGGAGATTGGAGGAAGGTAGTGGGGTTTTTGGCCTGTGGTAGGGCACTGAGGACAAGGGCAGTTTGTATGCTTGCATTTTTGGGTCTATTGTTTAATTTAGCTTCCCTTCATGGCTCAGTCACAACTATAGATCATTTTTTTTTGGTTTTAATATGAAAAATATTAATTAAGCCAGTAGTTATTATTTTTTTTCCAAACGGATCTTATCTAATGCATAGACAATTCTCAAAATAAGAATTCTTTGAATATATTTTGATTAGGACAGAAATATTTTTACATCTATGAAATTTGAATTGCATTTCTAAACAAACTCACTTATCATTATAATAATTTTAAATTATGATGTATATATGTTTGATTATTATATTATTAACGAAATATATTAAGGATACCTTCAAACAAACAAAAAAAAAAAAAAAAAAAAAAAAATGCATTATCTAAACAACTCACTTATCATTATTAATAAATTTTAATATGATGTATATATGTTTGATTATCGTATATATTTTAACGAAATATATTAAGGATACCTTCAAACAAACAAAAAAAAAAAAAAAAAAAAAAAACCAAATATATTAAGGATTTAATAAAAAAAAAAAAAAAAAAAAAAAAAAAAAAAAAAAAAAAAAAAAAAAAAAAAAAAAAAAAAAAAAAAAAAAAAAAACCAAATATATTAAGGATTTAATAATTAAATCATAAATGTTTCTTAACATAAGCTAAGATATTAGTTGTTTATTAAATCTAAATTCTTCGATTCTTTCAAAATAAGAATTCCAGAAGGACAACTCAATAGGGGAAATAAAAGGTTAGAGTTTTTTTTTTAAAGGGAAAAACAAACTTCATTAATTCAGACTATAAAGTTCAGAAGCACAATTCTGAGATGCTATTCCATTATGGAGACAAGCGTACCAAATGAATGCTCTTGTAATAGAACGAGCTCACATATTTACATATCTTTGAACCTGCTTGATTTTAGTATCAAGCATATTACCTAAAATTTGCTTACAATCCAAAATCATTAGGCCGAAAATGGAAAAATCTAAACATTTAAAATTTAAAACATTAACCGAAATTTGGGAGTCTGAAAAAATAATGTCAATGCCAGGAAGATGATCTTTCAAAAACATTGACCAAAATTTTAATTTCATTACTAGGAAAGAGAGAAATTATTATTAGGAAGCTATCACAGTGATATAACTAATTCAAATAATCCCACATTTCAAAAAATAAAAAATAAAAACTTAAATGGTTTGTTCTTAAGACCATCAATATTAAGTAAATAGAGCTGTAAGTGGGGATAGAAGTGAGACGGGTATTTTAGGATCCTAGCCTACGGATAGTTATAAATAAGTTTTAGACGTGAAATTACTATTCGTAATGGATACAGATATGATACGCGTATTAGATTCTGGATACCTGCTACCCATCACCTGTTATAATAAACGATTTTGGTCATGAATTCCCATGGTACCCTACCCATTTATTAGTGAAAAATGCATTTTAAATATGTTTGGGTTTGGATAGTTTAAAATGGATGTAAACTCTATCTGTTTAAGGGGTACTTTAAACGCGTTTTTGGACGAATGTGAATAGTAAAATTTTAAACAGGTTCGTACAGGTACTAAATAGATATTTAAACAGTTTTAAAACGGATACAAGTAGTAAAACTTTAAATAAATACGGTTACAAATAGTTTAAAATTCGCAGATACCCACCCGGCTTTCATCCCTAGTTGTAAGTTCTTAAAAATATTAGTGTTTTAAGATGTGCAAACATATAATTCAACTAATTGCTTTAGTGCACACCAAAATATCGTTTACTAGTAAGTGCATATATACTCTAACAATAAAATCCATCCATGTTCAAATCCTCTCTCCTAATATTGAAAAAAAAAAAGCTTTAGCATTTATGCTCCTTTGGATTTTATTGTCTAACGGTAGTAAAGAAAAATATTATGTAGAATGTTTATTTTAGTATTTAATGTCTTTTTTGAAAAAGAAATCATATATATTGATTTTTATATATTGATTTTACATCCTTTGATTTGTTAATACATTTTTCACACTCTAATTTTCTTTATTTGGAATTTCTTAGTTTTAGCAAGTAATATATATTTTTGACTATGGTGTTCTAATATTTGTTAGTTATTTTATAGCCTTAACCGTTAAAGATTAGTTATTAGTTGTTAACAATTTAAAGTGAAAGTGTTCAGTAAAAGTAACCATTTTATCATTTTATCATTTTAGATGTAAAATGATAAATAAATAAATAAAAAGAACGGTTTTATGTTAGAGGGCTTGTAAATTTTATAAAAAAAGTAATGGACACAAGTGTCAAAAATTATTCATTAATTATTATAAAATGTTAAATGTTAAGTGAAAAATATTTCATTAAACATTTCTTTAACCTCTAAAAATTAATATATAGATTATCTTACTGCACACTATAACCATAACTAATAAAAATAATGCTTTGATCTAATTAAAATGGTAAAATTACTGTAAAAGAAGTTGTCGACTAAAGTCTAGAAAGTTGGATTATGACTAGTATTTATCGTGCGTTGCATGTTTGTACTTGTTATAGTTACTCTTTTTTTATTTTTTATTTTTAATATGGTTGATTATTTTTTTGTAAAATGATAAAAGTGATAATAAGTTATTGAAAAAAAGATAAATACAGTATGTGCTTTTTATTTATTTAATATTAAAGATTATAATATGTATGTAAACGAAATGAATAAATAGTATAAAAAATTTATTGAAATGGAATGCAAAAATAAAATTTACCATTGAAACAAAGTGAAAAAATAAAAATAATAAAAGCTCAAGCAAAATATACCTCTCAAAATAAGAAGTAAATCAATATGGATAAAAGTTCTCGATATAAAATAATGATAATAAATCCTATATCCATAGAAAAATAAAAATTTTTGTGGTAATTTTTTTCTATAAGAATTATATATATATATAAAATTTTTGTAGGTAATTTTCTTAGAATTATATACTATATATATATATATAATATAAATTAATATATATATATATATATATATATATATAAAGTCTATAATTATGTAATTCATAAATGATCCATATCAAGATATTTCTCATTATAAAATAAGTTATCAATTTTTCAATTATTTTGAAAATTAAAATTTTGTAAATTATTTTTAGACATTATCTACTATAAAAGTTAATTAATTAAGTTTAAGTAATAGTATCAATTTAATTCTAATTAAATTAAATTTAAATAGAAAATTAATAATAGTTCCCAATTAAAATTAAATTATTTTTATTTTTTAGCCAATAAAATTAAAATCTTTAAAAATATTATATTCTTACCACATTTAATACATACTTTACTTAGTATATAATATAATTACTTATTTATCCAATATAATTTAGATTTAAATAAAAAATTAATGTAACCAATTAAAATTAAATCACCTTTATTTGTGCAATTAAATAAAATTAAAATCCTTAAAAATATTATTTTTTTTCATATTTAATATATATTTTATATGGTGCATAATATAATTTTTAATTTATCTAATAGAATTTAAATTTAAATAGAAAATTAATATAATAATATAACTAATAAAATTTAAATTACTTTTATTTGTCTTAACTAATATTTAAATAGAAAATTAATATAACTAATTAAAATTAAATTACTTTTATTTGTTTAACTAATAAAACTAAAATTTTAAAAAAATTATATCCATTCCATATTTAATATATATCTTATATAGTATATAATATAATTTCTTAATTTATCAAATAGAATTTAGATCTAAACTCTTCAATTATATTTTTTTGGTGATCCCAATGTTCCATTTCCCGTTGGTACTTTTTTTGTTAACATTTATATAATGATTTAAAATAAAATTGTAATAGATAAATGGATGTTTGGGTACCTATCACATATAAAATGATTTTGAAAAATTTCAATTTGTTGTTGCCAAACCTTGAAGCTAGGGAAATATCGTTTTAACCTTTAACAACTACAATAAATATTGCATTATATAATCAATAGAGACTGTTTTAAAGTTGCTTTAAAAACCCTTCAAACTGTAAAACTAACTGTTTCAGTATAAAAGAAAAAGCTGTAACATTTTCAAGAAAATCTAGAAAAGAAATAATAAAAAAAAAACAAGATAAGTTTGCATTGAAAACGTTACTCTTATTGAATTTTAATGATCCATAATTCTGATTTTGTTAGATTATCAATTTTTTTTATTGCTTTCTAAATCCTGCTCTAAATCTGTTGCTTCATGGAATATTCTTATGTTTCAGATAAATTTCTATTGCAATAACATATTTCTTGATATATTGATATATATATATTATTATATATATAATATATATATAGAATAGAAGTAGAATATAGATATATAATAGAAGTAGAATATAGTAACTATACTATATTATCCAAGTTCTTGTTTATAAAATATATTATCTCTACCATATATAAATCTGGGAATGAGAGGGAATAATGAGATTTCCATACCACCCTCAATAAAATTTAAAATATTTTAACATACCCTTAGTCGTAGCTAATTCGAAAATTACATTTATACTGATAAGTGTTGAGATGAGTGGTTTGACACTCTTCTTCCTTAGGTGAAGTCGAGGTTCGATCCTCATGGATGAAACAGATACTCATTGGGAGCACTTTATCCTTTCTTGTGCCGAGTGAGCTTGGGATACATGTGGTTAAGATGAAACAAAAGAAAAATTACATTTTATTATTTAATCATATATAATTTTTAAAAATTATTTTTTAAATAAATAAATATATATAATAAAATAGAAAAAAATATATTCTTCTATTTTTTTATGGTTGTAGGAAAAATTGTGAGTTTATTTGGAGATGATATAACGTTTCTTTTATGTAATCTTTTTTTATTACTTAATTAACGTATTTATTTATTTTAAATTTACAATTTAAAATAATAGAGAAACAAAATATTTAAATAAATTCATTAATTGACCAATATTGGATCCTAGCATGATTTGCTTTGTAATTTTCATTTATTGACTTGACTTT